AGTGTATAAACTGTTGAAAGTAAAATTCATTATCTGCTCTGAAAACCTTACCTAAGTCACAGTAGTTTTTAAAAAGGGAAGGTAAGATAAACTCAAAAGGGCAGCATTTCCCCAAGGACAAAGGCCAGAGTGTCAGGAAAAGGAGGAGAAATGTACCCAGGAAACGCAGGGAGTAAATGGGATGATACAGTAAGGTTGCAATACATGACTTGGAACAAAATGTATATGGTTTGTTGAAGGTAAAACTATAATCTGCTCTGTAAATCTTCACCCAATCACAATAAAGTTTTAGGAAATTCTGGGCTATGTATTCTTTCTCAATATTTTTTTGGGGGAAACTCCCCTGCAGTGCTTCCAACGTGTTCAGTCACAGCCAATGAAGCAAAAACAGATAAAAATTCTCACTTTGGAAGGAAGTGAAACTAAAACCAGAATGGCAAAGACGGGTTGATATCCAGGAACAGGAAACTTTGAAGGAGTACACCCAGCCCCTTCAGGAGCCTGACACACAACACTGGATTCTTGCCAGGACTCAGAGAAAGCCCTCGTGGTGTAGTGGGTATGAGCTGCACTGCACAATGCAAGGGTAGCAGTTCAAAACCACCAGCTGTTCAGTGGGAGAAAGATGAAACTTCCTATTTCTATGTGTTAAAAGTTTGCTTTTTTCTTTTGGGGCCATCACTGAAGCAGCAGCAGCCAAAATAAAATTCAATCTCTTTGTGATGTGGAGCAAAAACAGCAAAAGACATTTCTGCACCTTCCCACTTTACAGGAAGATTAGTATGTGTCCCCTCTGTCCACGGAATTGAGACAGAAATACAATGTTTGGTCCATGCCTATCTGCAAGGATGATGGAGTTCAGATTGTACAAGGAGACTACAAAGGTCTGCAAATTGGCAAAGTGGTTCAGGTTTACAAGAAGAAATATGTCATCTACACCGAACAGGTGCAGCGAGATCAAGCTAACGGCAAAACTATCCATGTGGGCCTTCACCCCAGCAAGGTGGTTATCAAGAGGCTCAAACTGGACGGAGACCGCAAATCTCACCGAGCAGGAAAGGAACAGCGCAAATATGAAGATCCACTTGAGAAGCTGCAAGCGTGAGCGTGTACACAACTTCCATTAAATCCTGCGATTTGGAGGGGGAAAGAGAGGGTGAAGATCTTGGAAACCCACCTTGGCCTACGGGGTGGGTCACTATGAGTCGGCATGGACTCGCTGGTGATGGGTTTGCTTCTTTTGGTGGAGAGTACACATCCAAAACTGCAGCTGGCCACCGTCTTTGAACGGCGCTATTTTTACTCTGCTGGTCAAATCCAAGCAACTCAAGTGCGGCCCCTAGCTTCTAGGAGGGAGATTAATTTCTATTAGGAGGTCAACCTCTCAGTTTCTCTGCACTGTTTTTCATTCTAGTTTATCTACATTTTACAGATTCACTCAGGCTTCCCTTGGTTGGCCATGACCGAGCCAGGAAGAATCGGTTCAGAGCCCAGCCCATTTGTCGTCTTGCATACAGTCCTACTGTTGAAATACCCGATTTCAATTTTCGCTCTTTTATATGTGACCTGTTCTTTCACTTACCCTCTATTTAAATGTGTGAAATGTTCCCTGGTTTCTTATCTATAGTACTCTAAAGGCCATTTTGATCTGAAACTGTATCTTTTTTTTAATTCTAAAAGATGAAATATTTTTCTGTTAGCTCTTCTAAGTATTTCCTCCTGCTCATTTTCAGCTTGTACCCCAGAAAGAAGCTCCATTATGACAGGGATTTATGGAGAGGATAAAAGGGAGGGGAATAACTGTCTGTGGTCAGCTAGCCTCCACCTGTTCATTCCTCTGTCTTAGGCACTTCTACAATATTCCAGTACTTCAGAGAAAAGGTAACAGGGTAGGATAATGTAGGGCAGTACAATTCTATCACATTCCGTGTGCCGTCACAGTGATTTAAAAGTCAGGAGGTTGGGATCAGGGAGAAATAGCAGTCAGTCATGTGGCAAATAATGTCTTATAGGGGTCCTAGCAATTGCATATCCAGCCTTGGTTCCATACATTATTTGTAATTGAGTTCAAAATTCCAACCAGTAAATAGGACACAGGAATACAATAAGGACTGAAACAAAAGCAGCTCGTCTCTTGTATACAAAGAGAATGTGCTGCCAGAGATATATTACAGTACACACACACATTCATATCTGTTTATGTATATACATACAGACACAAACATGTAAAACCTGTAAATATGTCTTGATAATAGTAATAAACACATATTAATGGTGTGTTTTACTGGCTTATACATTGCACTGTACTTTCTATCTAAAAACTATATAATACTGCATATTTTGACTTGCAGGCAGCAGCATTCAACAGTTTACTTTGTTTTGACTTGCATCCGTTTAATTTTAAATACATCTGTTCCAGTGAAGCCTGTATGTTGTTTTTCTCTACAAATACATATGCTCATCAACTGTCTGTGTCCCCCACCCCCCTGGGGACATCAGCTACTAACAGACAAAGCACATGGGGAAATCCAGACCTTATCTGCCGGAATGAGCTGGGTTTAAGTGCAAGGAAAGAAATGAGCACTAAAGTGGAAAGCAGAATCATGTTTCTAAGCATTGTTTTCTCGCTCGGGCAGTTGACCTTATTTTAAAAATATTCCTACGCAGTGTGCATGGCCTCTCAAACCAGTGCTAGTGAATAGCAGTGGGGCGAGCATAGGAACACTAACCACAAGGCAACTACCAACCACCAGCCACTCTGAGGGAGAAAGATGAGGATGCCCACGCCTGAAAAGATTCATAGCCCCAGAAACGCTAGTAGGAACCAGCTCAAAGGCAGTGGGATTCGTTTCTTGTTTTTTCAATTCTCTTTCAGCTACTTAAGAGAAATAAAACAACTTTTTATTTTGAAAAATTAAACTATTATTCATTGTTTCAGTTCTTACTAGGCCTTCTGCATATCTACTAAAGGTGCACAGCAGCGCTTACTACAGCAGTTTGTGAAACACACAATTCCAAGAAACAATATAAAAGTTTAAGCATTGGTAATCGGTGAAAAAGGTTGTACATTCTATACTGCAAAGCAATTCAAGTCTTTAAAAGAAAGTGCTCACACTGTAACATGATCAACCTTGAAAAATTATGATGAAGTAAGTCATAAAAGGGCAACATGATCTTGCTTATATGAACTAAGCAAATCTATAGACACCAAAGATTACTCCTGTTAACCAAAGGTAGAGAGAAAGAAAAAGAGTAAGTTTTTATTAGCTGTGCTGAAATGTTTTGAATGGGGATATACAAAATGGTACCCAAAAAAAAGAAAATGGTACAAAGGTTATAGGTCTAGGAAAAATGTAATCAACATCACTGAGATGTAAATGTGGGAGTGTATGGTGTTTGGATGAGGATCTTTTTACATAATTAGCAAAATCAGAGGAGAAAAGTATACTTAATGAAAAGCTGTCGATATGGTTATTTGAGCCACTTAAGGTGCCACACAATAGAAACAAAATGATTCCACCGGTTTTTGCAAATGTGGGGCTGCAGGAAATCAAGGCGAAGATATAACCTCAAGCAGCAACTGTGGCCAGTCTGAGTAGGCAAGCAAGACTCTTGGCTTTACACCAGTTTTGTTTTCATTTTTTAAACTAGTACCCACCTTTTACATGGCGCACTCATGTACACGTGTGTGTGTGTTCACACACACACACACACACACACACAGTTTAGGTAAACCACCTGTTCTGCCGCTGTATCGGGCAGTCACTCAACATTTCTTCTTGCATATGCTGCAGGTGTCCCCTGACCAAACCGAGACAAAGCAAGGTGAGTTCGACAGAGATGTCCTATTTGTTTTTTAACTGTGAAACAAAAAGCTGAGATCCTAGCCAATATTGTGAGATTAAAAACTTGTGTAGTAAATACTCTAAGCCTAAATTACTTTTTCATACCAGAAACAAGGGAGAGAGGTTAATACTCGTTAATCCCTAAAGGCTTCAAACGTCTTTGACAGTTTATTTCTTCCGCGAGCCCACCTGCCAAAGCTTCGGCCACTTCCTAACTCACAGGGACCTTGGTGGTGCAGGAGGGAACGGCACTGTCTCCTACCACGATCATCTCCAACCTTTCAGGTGTTACAGAATCATGACGGGGTGTGCTGACTCAGATACATAATCCCGAGTCCCAGCTACTTAACATCTGTTTCGGGGGCCTGGGTGCGACTCCCAAAATGGGTATTTTAACAGGAGTCTTCAAGGGCGCAGCGGGCCAGCCCCGGGGGCGCAGGGACGACCTAGCAGGCAGCTAACGGCCAGCAAGCATCCGCCGCGGCCCCGGGGGAAAGAAGTGGCCCTCCACGTCTGTAACGAGTTCACCGTCTCGGACACCCAGGGGCAGTTGGTGGGAGTTAGGAGTTGGAACCTACCGTGGCAGTATGTGTTTGGGGGGAGCATTTTTTAGGGTGTTTTTTAAGCGTTTCCCAAATTCAAAAAGAGCCGAAATCAGTCTCCCTTCCTAGCGCTCCCATCCTTTTCCCGCAAGTCCTTCGATGTCCCACTGACACAGCGCCAATCCCACTCCTCGGGGGTTGCGTGGGTTTCTGGTCGCATCCCTAACACTTCCATGTTCGCCGCCCCCGGAGCTCATCTTGGAAGCCTGCCCCCGCTCGGCCTTTCTTCCGCCCGCCCGGCCCCGCCGCCCACGTCTCGCTCTCCGCGCGCCCGCCCGCCTCCCCCGAGCGGCGCGGGGCCCGGTCCCACACTCCCGACACCCCGCCGACGGACCCCCAGAGCCACACCTCACGGCAGCTCCACGAGTCGCTCCCCAACCGCGCCCGGGGGGTCACTCACAGAGCCGAAGGGCCCGGCAGCATTTTGAAACGGCGAGTAAAGTAGGCGCAACTTCCGGCTTCTCGGAGCCTACGCGGACGAGAGCTTCCGGCCGCGCATTCCAGAAACCATAGAGCTGGACTGGAGGGCTAGAGAGGCTGGGCTCCCCCTACCATAGAGCCGAGTCTCATTCGGGGAAAGAGAGTCACTCGCCCGACCTGGAGGAGTAAGAGTTAAGGTTTCAACCAGAAACAAAACCTTTGCGAGAAATCGCAGCGGGTTGTGGTGCTTACAGATAGGCTCCCACGAGGTCACAAAATCGGCGGAGAGAGCGTCTTCATAGGCAACGTTCAACCCGCTGAAAAACTACGTTGTTCTAGTGTTAACCTGGCCTCAGGTGACACACTGCTTCTCATTCTCCGGCTCCCCGAGCGCCTGCACGGAGGACCTCCAGCTCTAGGCGTCCTGGCGGGAAACCAGACTAGCATGCACACAGTAACTACGAGCTGTTGAGTGAGAGGTGCGAGGACGGATGCGATAGAGCGCGTCCTTGGGATCACACAATCTAATCTTGTTCCAAGCACAGAAGCGCCTTCAATAACCCCCCCAGCCGACTGAGTTTCACATCGTCAGTGCCCACATAGATCAAGCACGTGCAAAGACACAGCGCCATTCCTGCCCACGGAAGCCTAACGCAGAGGATCTGCATGAGCAGCACTGAGAAGGGCGTGAATCCGCCCCTGCAGAGCCGGCCCAGGAGATGCTCTAGAACCAGGGGCCAGCGCGTGCTGGAAGTCCAGGACAGGTGTGCGTTTCACCGTGTTTATTAGTCTCTATGCTGAGCACATAACCGAGAAACTGGGCTGCATAGAGAAGAACGTGGAATCAGGAGGGAAGGAAGGCATATTAATAACCTGAGATAGCTCTAAGATTGATTATGTAAATAGCCTGTGACTTAATCGTTCCATTGCTTCAAGTGCACATGGAGATAGATACAAGGGTATGGATAGCGACATCGTTTGCACTAGCAAACAATTGAAAGCATCTCAATGTTTTCTCAGAGGAGGAGATTACGGATGAAAGCCACGATGCCCTCGATTGCTGTTTTAGGTGCCGTCTAGTCAGTTCCAACCAGCAACTCTACGTAAAACAAAACAAAACCCTGCCAGGCCCTGCACGACCCTCACCACTGTTATGTTTGCATCCACTGTTGCAGCCCCTGCGTTAGTCCCTTTTCTGAAGGGTCTTTCTCTTTTCTGCTGACCCTCCACCATGCCAAGCATGATGCCTTTCTTCAGGAAAATCACAATTAACGTGGCCAAAGCACATGAGATTCACAAAGGCAATGTTCTAGATCCTACTTTGGTGAGCACTGACTGCGGTCTCCAAGGCTCACTAAGGTGCAGCTATTGCTCTCTTGGGGAAAGAGAGAGGAAAGGAGAGAGACGAAAACTGGAAGACAAGTGGAAACAATTAGGGACCTCGCAAACATCAGTTGTCATAACCCGAGGTGAGAAGAGCTAGATGGTGCCAGGCTGCCACTGTCAACTACCCTGACGAGGGTCACATTGGAAGGTTCTAAATAGAGTGGAAGAAAACTGTGGAACAGAATTCAACATCTTAACAGAAACAGGTGGGACCCCTCCCCTCCCTACCTCTGCCAAGATGGTGACCCTTTCCCCTTCAGGCCTGCAGAGGAACTCACCTCCACATGAATCGACCCTATAACCTTCAAGGGAGGTGGGGGGAGGGGTAGCAGCATTTACTCACCCAAGGACAAGTTCAGAGGGTTTGCAAAGGAGGAACAGAAACAGGAAACGCGGGGAGGAAGTGCGAAGGTGAAGGGGTTTGCAAGGAGTTGGATCAGAATGTGTAGGAATGTGCATCTCTGTAAACTTTTCTCTAACTCACAATAAAGTTTGTCGTCGTCTGTTCTCACCATCCTGCGGCTTGAAGAAGCATTCTGGTTGTACTTCTGCCAAGACAACCTGTTCTTCCAGCAGGCTGCCATGTTTGCAGGTGTTCTTTGCCAACACTGATTCAGATGCATCAATTCGGCTGTGGTCTTTCTAATTCACCGTCCAGCTCTGACCTGCATAGAAGGCCATTGAAAACACGGGCACCCCTTCGTCCTCAAAGTGACAGCTTTGCTTTTTTAACACTTTAAAGTCTTAAAAACACTCCAAGGTCTTCTGTAGAAGATTTGCCCAGGCAATCCATTGTTTAATTTCTTGATGGCTGCTTCCTGTGAGCTTTTTGGGCGGATTCAAGTCAGATAAAATCTTTCACAACTTCAATTTTCTCAGTTTGTGGTCCATTGGTCTACTTGAGAGGCTTTGGGAGTTTTTACACTGAGGTGTAATCCATTCTGAAGGCTGTTTTCTTTGATCTTCAAAGAAGTTCCCAGTATTCCCTTCTCCCAAGGTGAACTTCTACCTTAAAGGGACTCACTCTCCTAAATTGGGTGTTTACCCCGTCATGCATTTCTTATGACTTTTAGGAGTTTTATGTGGGTATAATTCCTAAAAAATACTTATGTTTAAATTTTTTAAAAATATATGGGATAAAACGATGTGTTCTACTGTACCTTGAGTGTCTGAAGTAGTTCATAATTTTTAAAGAACGATGATACAAACCAAAAACATTGACTTCTAATTCCTTAGGAACTGAAAGGAATTTGCTTACTATTTGCCCACTCAAACTTTGTCCATTTTTCGCTAGCATTTTTTGTTTTGTGCTTTTCTTATGAGTTTATAGAAATTGTTATATAATCTACATGTCATCCCTGTTGGTTACATGCATTAAAATAACAGCTTTAAATCTAAAGTTTCTGTAGTTGACTTTTAAATGTTATCTTTTCCTTAAGAGTCTCTTTTTTTAATGGAATCAAATTAATCATGTTTATCTTTTGCTTTTATTATTAAGAGATTCCTCACTACCCTGGAGTCGTAAAGATATACATGTATGTTTTCTTCTAAAAGTGTTTTTTCAGATTTAAACTTTAACCTACTAGTAATTGGTTTTTTTGTCTGCTTGTAACGTAGTGATCCATTTTTTTCAGCTGAATAATAAACATTACAGCTCCATTTATTGAATAGCTAGCCTATAGACTTAAAATTTATCTTTAGTCTACAGACTTTTGACCTGGTTGTCTAGTTTAATGGGACTTTTTCCCCTCCAAGTCACCTCGGACGACATCCTCAAGGTGTGGGAACCCCCTGCCGCTTCGCAGGATGCTACCTCCCACTTCCCGCCACACCGCTAAACCTAGTAACGTCAGAACCAGAATTTGAATTATCGCTCACAAATAGTCTTTTTTTTTTTCTGTCGTGGGTCAGATTCAGCGATCGTAAAATAGACCAGATGTCTGTCATTACAGCGCTACCAAATGAATACGTCACCACCATTGTCTTAATCCTGAACTGATTACAAATCAGACGACAAATCCATCTAACAATTTTGAATTAGCCGGAGAGGTTGGTGGAAGGTGCAGCAATTGCATTCCTGGTTTATCTTCAGCTCCTCGTTCCTGTGCTTTCTTCGTTTTAAAGTACTTCCCCAAAGCGCAGGCTGGAATCGCGTGCGCAAACTTTCGCATTCGTATGTAAGAGAGTGTAGAACAGTCTTCCTCTAGCGGGAGCCCGGATAGCTCAGTCGGTAGAGCATCAGACTTTTAATCTGAGGGTCCAGGGTTCAAGTCCCTGTTCGGGCGTTCCTTTTTCCCGCCTCCTCAAGTTGACGTCTGAAGAAATGAAATTTTTTCTCACCGCAAAATCACGAGTCAAAACCTTAATCATAACCAAGAAACTAACCTAAATTGCTTAACCTTTCATTTTTCTCGTTGAAACGTCGTTTATCTAGCATGATTTTAAACACATAAAAAACGCTTTGTTTTTAAAAAAACTAAAGAAGCCTGTAAGGATTAGCTGATTCCTGATTAGGTGGTACAAATTTAGAGAAGACAAAACACAGGGACGCCCGAACAGGGACTTGAACCCTGGACCCTCAGATTAAAAGTCTGATGCTCTACCGACTGAGCTATCCGGGCACTCAAATAAGCTTGTAATCTACTATTTACTTGATGTAATTCTAATAAGTTGTTTATAGTGTCCATTTAAACCTCCACCCCCCAACCCCGCAATAATGTAAACTACATTCTAATCGTGTTTCTGCTTTTATCTAAAACATGTGTTGTTCAGACTTCTCCATATTTCTGTTTAATAAATGACCAATATGCACTAAAGTCTAAAAATAGATCAATGGCCGCAAATACCGAGTATCCAAGATAGACATTCAAAATTCATACACAGCATTACAATTTTCCTGTTTTAATCTATGGTTTCCCTGATAAGGCCGCTTACTCTTAGTTTTTTCCTCTGAAGCAGATTACCCATTTTGCCCATTAATGAAAAATAAATTCCCACTTACCCGGTCAGCTGGCTCGTTAGATAAGCATTCCTTAGTATAAAAAGGAAGGAAGCCTTTGGTTCCCGAGTGGAGGAGCTACTCAGTAAGTAGGAGGGATTGTGTAAAGGCAGCTCTCAATGTAGATGGTAGGAAAGGGGGGTTAGACCTAATTCACATTCTGATTGAAGTTGTGCTTTTTTCCCTCCTTCCAGCCAACCTGAACTTTGAAAGCCAGGTTCCAAAGGCAAATACCGAAAATAGCATCAGTAGGCACTTTACGAAGAACCAGAATCTCCCAACCCAGTTCTGCCTGCTGTCAGTGCCGTCAGCCCTGCCGGACAGGGTATGGAAGACAGGATTATGAAATCCCACAGAATTCACTGTTTGTTTCTGGGAATTTAAGGTTTCTGGACTCCACAAACAGCAAACATCTCAGCCTCACTTGGAGGACTTTTTTTTCTTTCCCTATAATGATCTCATTCTTTCAGAACAAAGGCCAACATATTTGTGTAATCCTGAGTGGGCCTGGGTTCCTATAACGATGTTGTTGTTGTTCTTGTTCTGGTTTTTAGGTGTCCTGGAGTCCGCTCTGACCCATAGCGGGTGACCCTGTGCAACAGAAGAAAACACTGCCCAGCCCTGTGCCACAGGG